AATTGATGTAATTCATGACATCGAATTTATTATGAATTAAGAAATAAATGGATCTCAAAAATACCTTGCAGGAAAAACACGATTTTTTCTAGGGCAACACCAATAACGAACTAGCGTGCTGATAACGTGTTGTAAATTGGAACTCTTAATCTTCAACAAGCATCCATCAATCCAAGCATAAGATGTGCAGTAAAGAGAATGATACAAGAGAAGCAGAAAAGTATGTATTTTTATTAATCGGTATTCACTCTTTTATAGAGTTTACAACAGAGAAACCCTAAAACCTAATCCTACTAACTAATGGACTTCAGGCCCAATTATATATTAGTAATGTACATATTAATATATTTATAACATTAACCATTCGTATCAAGTAAAGAAATCCTATTTTCACAAGGTTGCCTATACCGAATAGATTGAGCCCTAATATTCCTAATTAAATAAAAAAATAAGCCAATGGAATGACGCCGCGTGTCCAAACCCAACCACAATAACAAAAAAACGCGGCCTATCGTCCCCACCTTGCACTTTCCAGTTCTCCAATTCACGCACAGATACATACACACGCCACTTTATCTATATAAACCCACAATCGAATCCCAATTTACAACAACTCTTTTTGCCGAAGCCAAAAAAAACTCCATCAACCAATGGGAGGAACCAAAAAACCATCTCTCAACTGCTGCTGCTGCAACCCCTTCACCTGCTGCTGCGGCTGCCTCCTCGACTGCATCTGCACCTGCATCTGCCAGATCATCCTCACCATCCTCACCGTCGTCGCCATCGCCGCCTTCGTCCTCTGGCTCGTCTTCCGGCCCAACACCGTCAACTTCCACGCCACCGATGCCTCCCTCACCGAGTTCTCCATCGACGCCAACCATACCCTCCGCTACGACCTCGCCGTGAACCTCACGGTCCGGAACCCCAACCGCCGCATAGGGATCTACTACGACCGGATCGAAGCCAGGGCTTTCTACCAGGGGCAGAGGTTCAACTCCGTCGACCTGCCGCCTTTCTACCAGGGACGCAAGAGCACGCGAAACGTCACCGCGGTTTTCAGGGGGCAGCACTTGCTTCCGCTCGGGAAAAGGGAGATGTCGAACTACAACAGGGACGGCGGGGACGGCGCGTACGACATCGACGTGAAGCTCTACCTCCGGACAAGGCTGAAGTTTTGGTTCGTGAAGTCGACCATGGTGAAACCGAAGATCGACTGCGGTCTTAGAGTTCCGCTGAAATCCAACGGCACAGTCGCGGGTACGTATGAATCGAGGAGGTGCGATTTCGATTGGCGCTGATTACCTGCTCGGTCCACCGTAGATGCATACTCTACTAGCTGCAATTTTTTTTTTCGATTGAGCTTATTGATTTGTCAAATAGCTATGATTCTTTCAGGGACTTTGTGAAAAAATAATGAGTTTATCTGATTCGATTGAGCAGATTTCTTCATCTTGTTTTTGTTTTGTATTCGAATTTTAGTTGGCGGTACAAGTTGACTGTGAATAGACCATTTTTCATAAGCCCGCTGGCCTGACGCCACCATAAAACTGCCGGAATTTGTAAACCCTGTGCCAAATAGACACCATAAAATTTGTAGTCCTCAACAGTCATGGCTTTGATGCAATTTTTAATCTCCTCACATACCATTAAATTTAAAGACATGATTGAAAAAACTATGTCAAAGTACTGTACATCCAATCGAGAGGGCAATGTTGATGTAGATACTGATAGAAGAGCTCATGTTTCTAAGTATAATATGGTATAACGAGTCCCATCATTCCCTTATCACGTTTTGAATCATATGATATCGGCTTGCTTGATATCCTTAGCCTGTGAATAACTTTAATTTTGACCATAATATGTACGAATTATTTATCAATGGAAGAGAACTGGTATTGATATCTACTGTCACTATATCTACAATTGTTGTCACTATATCTACTTGTTACAACAATTGTAGATATAGTTACAGTAGATATAGTGATAACAATTATAGATATAGTGACAAAATAATTATTCACTAGAACTCTATTTTTTGTAGCTCGATCCCTCCGGCGTGTTCTTGCAGTCTCTCTTCCTATCCCAGGCATTGAAGTTCTTTGGAGTGTAGATATGGGCCGAAAATCCGTCTAGGCGGGTTGAGTATCACAATTTTTGAATTTGGAGCTTAGTTCTTATTGCTCGGTTGGGGTTCTTTGTTGTGGGTATGAGTCAGTTGTTGGTTTTGGTGGTCGTAGGGTTCGTCTGCTAGGTTTAGGGGAGGTTTTATTTTACTTTGCTAATTAGGTGTGACTTGTTTTTTTATCTTTCTCCGTTGTTTTTCATTTAGTCCAGCTGTGTCTGGTTGTTAGTCTCCTCTTTGGAGTTGGTGTCTCCCATATGGAGTTTGTTTTGGCGGTTAGATCTCCATGATGGAGTTTGTACCCCCTTGACCACGTATGTGGATTCAAGGGGGTATGGTCCAGTTTTTCTGGTTGCAGTAGTGTCGGTTGACACTTCAATCTGTACTCTTTTTGAGTTTTTAAGTTAACAATATATTTGTCGTTTGAAAAAAAAAAAGTGACAATACTACCCCTAAATTTCACATCATTTGCTTTGTTTCCTGGTCAATCTCCCATTCCACCCCCCCACGCCTATCCCATCAATCTTTGCCTCAATCAGGCAATATTTGCTTTCTTAAGAACCACATGGACGTGCACGTGCAAAGAAAGAGCAAGACAGAGAGAAAACAACTCCATATCTAAAATTCTAACCATTTTTACCAATCATTTTTAATAATTTTCGGCCATAATACACTTACATGAGAAAATCTACATAGCCTTGGATAACTACACAAACAAATATTACCCAAAACAAACACACAGATACACAAAAGTACTTCAACAATTCCGCTACTCCATCCACCAAAAATATAATCCATCGTCGCTACCCCAATGTGTGTTTTCTTTGCGTGCATAGACATTTGCACTTATGTTTGATTCTTTTGTCAATCTTCATAGACGTTTGGGCACTTATGTTTCTAGGCAACAAATGCATGTGTTTCTCCTTTGTGAATGTATGGTTCATTTCTATGCAAGTATATGAAATTTTCTCTTTGTTCCTCTACAAATGGTAAATAGCTAGCAATGCAGGGCATTATTGGTAAACGAAATGTGTAGGATTATGTAGTGTTCTATAGGGTAGTAACAATAGTTAGTTATGGTAGTTAGTTTGTTTAGTTGTAAGTTTATTAGTTAGGCGTGAGTCAGCTAGCGAAATTCGTGTTTTATTTTTTTCTCGATTTTTGGTACAAATACACAAAATGTAATGTGATTGTTGTTATGAATGAAAAATTAACAGAAATGAAATGATATTTTCTCCTAGAACACCCTAGTCCTTATTAACTACATGGTATATAGAGCCTGGTTTTTTAAGCTTAAACCTAGATTTTTATGGCGCAATCGCATTACATGTGGCTTCGTAGGGACATGACCGACGAGATTGTGTTGTCACATGATGATCTGATGCATTTGTAGAGCTCTGATCATCTTGGAATGCGCTTGGTCTCAATTCAGCTGAATGGTACCAATTTTCTTTCTTGGAACAAGTTTGTTCTCATAGTTCAGGAGCCAAAAATGATGACCTAGTTCATTAACGGAAAGATTTTAGCTCCGTCAGAAGCATATGATGATTACACCAGTTGGAAGAAAGACAATTACATGGTAACTGAATGGCTCTTGAACTCTATGTCTTTTGAAATAGTTGAAGTGTTCATTATATGATGATTCTGCATTTCAAAGATAGAAAAACATAAATCAACACTTTGGGGAATCAAATGGCACTTTGTTTTTTTGTTTACAAATGAAAATAGCAAACAATAGGCAATGAACATTATCAGTTGTGTTGTACTTTACAAAGTTGAATAGGCTGTGGAATAAGTGTGCATCTTTTGCACATCTACCTTTATATGGATATGACAGATCCAATGAGTTACTTGAGATGGACTCTCGCAATAAATTGATGCATTTTCTCATGGGGTTATGTGATTCTATGAGTAGTCAAATCCTTCTTATGGATCAATTGTCAAATGTTAACAAGACATATTCTCTCAATTTGCAAGAAGATAGAAAGAGAAGTGTGCATGTTATGTACCCAGGTTCTACCGATACAGTTGTCATGGTTGTGAGGCATGGAGAGGACTATGGAAATAAAGGAAGAAGAAATGGGCCAGGGGAAGGGGTCAAGGTTGGAACGTAGGAAGAGGTCGATGTTCCACACCTGGGAGGTCTAAAGAGGAGAGAGCACAACTTGTTTGTGAACATTCTGGTTACAGTGGTCATGAAAAGAAAGAATACTTTAAACTTCATAGATATCTTGACTGGTATAAAGAACTGAAGCACAAAAACAATAAGGCATATGCTAATCAAGTGAAGAATGCAGAGAGTTTACCAAAGGGTATAAATATGGCAAGTAAGGCATAGGAGTTGATGAAGTTTTGAGAAGGCAAACACAAGACTGAGTATGATTCATTATTAGAATGAGTTGACTTTGATAAAAATATTTTTGATCTTGATTTTTATTTTGCGTTCTAAATGTTTTGTTTGCGTGTGTTGACATAATTTCTGTTTGAATGTTAATCGTGTTTAATTAAATGGGTCAACGTTCTAATGTTTAAAATTTGGATAATATGGTTTATCACAGATGGAAAGAATATCATATTATTGGTTACTTATATAATATAATTTTTGGTTCACAATCTAGATGAAACTGGACAACGCACCACGAACGATTGTAGTGTTAATTTTGCATTCTATCATGACTGATTGATTGCACTAGTACACATTGTGTATATTGAACAGAACCCACGGTAGATAAGTTTATTTTATACTGACCAAGTAAATAAACTATATCTCAGTAATTACTGCATACTATCAACCGTAAGATAACAAAAAAGCATGTGCACTCAATAGATAGAACTTTGATTCACTGAAAAGTCAGATCCATTCAGCTAGGTCAATACATTTACGTGTTTTGGGTAGTAGTGTTGTGTGTATGGTATGATGTTCAAATTATATATGATGTTTTGTTAGGATATTTACGGTCACCATGTACGTTTAGTTTGATGGTGTCCCCGAAGTGAGTTCATGAAGGATTATTATGCTAAACTCTGCAGGTGGATTAAATTTTGGTATAGTAACAATGTGATGAACGAGCGCTAGGTTCGGTGAAATAATAATAAATTAATTAATTCTTGATTAACAGTAATGAAATTAGTTAATGGACATTATATCTTAAACATGTGGAGATATATCGAGTAATTATTATTGAAGTCTCAATTGTAAATTGGGCTAGGAAAAGGGAGTGCAATAATATTATGTTAGTGACCCATAATATTGTTTAATTAATTAGAAGAGTGTGTTTGGCCCACAGTTAGTCTAATTAATTAAGGAGTCATATTTCTAATCTCCTAAGGGTCCCTATTGCAGCTATATATATACATCATTAGGCTCATAGAAAA